ACCTCCTGAAGAGGTCAATCTGGATGCCAAAATTTTGGTGAAATTATGGTTACATCCTCAGCTGTGTCAACCAAATTGTCAAATACAATACTTTAGCTTTGGTCATTTATAGATGTTTGCCAAAATACTTGTGCCTTACTTTCTGAAGCGGTGCTGTCATCCAGAGCAGTATTTTTTTTTTTTTTTAAAATAACAGGAATCAAGTCCTTTAATTGCTCTAGGGAGGAGTTTCCTCCATGGACACGGAATGATTGAACCAAAATTGACATGGGGGCCCATGAGAGGCCCCTCAAGGTGTTTCCCGATGGCAAAGGGTTATCTCACCTATCTCTTGTTGATCTGCATTGATTAGTCCAGTGTTAGCCTTTGCCACACTTTCCAAATATTCCAGAATGCTGGGGCCTTGTTTGGATTACCTCTAGAAAAAACATTGTTTCTAGGAATGCCTTGTCTACAATCCCTTGTCTACAATGCCTTGTTTACCACAGTTAAAACATCTGACATTTTGAATTTTCTTAAAGTTTTTGGAAATCATGTCTCCTATCTGAGCAGATCAGGCTGGCCTTGAACTCACTGAGATCTGCCTGCCTCTGCCTGTAACATAAATAATTTACCCAGAGACAGATATTGGGGTTCAAGGTAAACATCAGAAAAGCAAAGCAGCCAAGTCACCAGAGAGCTCTTACCTCTACCAAGGGTGGGGAAGGGATCCTGTTCTCAACATGGCTAGAGACTAATTGCCCAAGACTGACTGCCTGTTCCTGTCTTATATACCTCTCTAGTGCTGGGATTAAAGGCATGAACTCTGTTTCTCTTTTAGACTGATTCACTGTCATGTAGCCATGAGTAGCCTTGAACTCACAGGGATGCATCTGCCTCTGTTTCCTGTGTCCTGGGATTAAAGGTGTGTGCCACCACTGCCCAGCTTCTATGGCTGTGGCTAGCTTTGTATTTTCATCTCCAGGCAAGCTTTATTAGATCATAAACAATATATCACCCCATCTTCCCCCAAGTGCTGGGATTAAAGGCAAGTGCCACCACCACCCAGATGTGAATTAGCATTTTCAAAAGTCAAAGATTCAATTAATATTTGTCTGATATCATTCTTTTTATAGCTGAAGTCAATTTTTGTAAAAAAAAAATCAGTTAAGGCTTCATTTGGACCTTGTATAATTTTAGTAAATGACTCTGTCTTCTTTCCAGCTCCAACTCTGTCCTAAGCATTCAGAGCTGCTGTACAGCATAGAACCAAGGTTTCTTCATCATATATAGACTTGTCTTTGCAAAGCTGCATATTCGCCTTCTCTGAGAAATTGATCTTGGAAAATTTCAATACCTCTAGCCCTACTTCATTGTTCCATGACCCTAGCATTGCCTTCCTACCAGATAGCTGAGGACCAGCGTCCAATGCTGCTGTAACCAAATATTTCCAGTCTTGTGTTGCTAGTTGCCTGTGAATTTAACATCTACCTCACAAAAGCTGAATACATACCATATGAAACTATTGCTTCCTTAAATCTTCTCAAATCTAACATTTCCATAGGATTCCAGTGAGTTCTTCCATAGCCTTGGGGATACCTGTCATATGGTGGTTGTTCCTGTATAGTAATTAAATAAATTAAAGTTGGTTTTTTGATAACATTGGGCCTCTTCAATTTCATAATGTATCGGTGAGTTATGTTCTGCTCTAAATTCTTCTATCTGAATATTTTTATTAGTAACTTTCTTAAGGCTTATATTTTATCAGTGGAATTTTTATCATTTTCATTAGTAAGTATTCCTAAAGCTTGTATATTACCAGTCACACTTTTATTATTTTCATTAGTATTTGTAAAGCTTGTATACTATTAGTAGTAACCTTTTCTTTTAAAAAATATTTTTTTAAGATTTATTTATTATGTATACAATGTTCTGCCTGCACGCCAGTACTCCCAACCTTTGAGCCACCTTTCCAGCCACAGTAACAACCTTCTCTAAAGCTTGTATCTTATGAATAGTACGTTTTTCTACATGCTCAAAAGATGGGGTTGTGTAAAAGTAATCAGATGTAGTGACGATGTTTGACCAGAAGATGGAGTAGGCTCGGAGCCATGACAGCTCAGGATCAGCATGCTAGGAGCAAATGTAAATGTGTAAGGCAGCTGGACTAGCTGATATCCTGGTGATTGTGGGCTCTGAGCAGAATTGGCCTGGGAGGGTAGTGGGGGACACATGGATGAACTGTGAGGAGCCAGGGATTTGTATCCCAGAAGGCAGAAAGGCAGGCAAGGAGGGGCTGGGCGAAAGGGACTGGGGGAAGGGCCACTGCAGTTGGAATGGTTAGTGTGGGAGAATCACTTCGCCTTTGCTTGATTTAATAATGCCTGCGTGGACACCAGATAAAACAATTTTTTTGCCATTTATTATAAAATAAAACTTGGAGACAAATATTAAAGATAAAAGCCTGAAGCTGGGCAGTAGTGGCACATGCCTTTAATCCCAGCACCAGTCTGATCTACATAGTGAGTTACAGGACAGCCAGTGCTACCCAGAGAGCCCTTGTCTTGGAAAACAAACAAAACAAGAAGTTAGAAACCTGAGATAATCTCAAATGACTGGGAAACACAGCTTCCCAGCTCAAAAAAACCGGGCAAACTTACAGGGGACAGGGAAGGGGGAGAGGGGGCAAAGGGGTTGAATGGCGACCAGGTGTTGGGGGTGGGGTGGAGAGAGGAGCTTTCTTTCTCATGTCGGAGTCTACCAGGAAACTTCAGTGATCCAGTTGGGCAAGCTGAAAGTGAACCCTGCGTCTTGAACCAATGCCTGGCTCGAGTGACTGTCAGAGGACAACACGAACAAATTCCCAAAACATGGTTTTACTGTACTTAAGAAGTATTTTAGGTGCGGCAAAAATGACTCAGTGGGTTAAGGCACTTGCCACCGATGCTTATCACTAGAGTTTTACCCTGGTAACCCACATGGTGGAAAGAGAGAACTAACTCCCCCAGTTTGTCTCCAGACCCCTACACACACACACACACACACACACACACACACACACATACACAGATGCACACACACATACACACACACCATTAACACACAGTCACCCGTACATACACATATACAAAATACATAAAGACATAATTTTAAAAAGCATATTTTTTGTATATTATCATTTAACTGAAAGTGATAAAGTACTTTTTTAAATCACTTTTTTACTTAATTTTTTAAAAAAGAAATGGAGTCTTTCTATATAGCCCAGGCTTGCCTCATACTCCTGTCTTAGGTTCTCAAGTGTTGGGAGTACAAGTGTCAGCCACCTTGTTTGGCCCCTTGAGCATGTGATCATTGTTATGTATACCTGGACTTGTACAATGTTTTTGTTCTAAAGCATTTCACTGTAATATCATATCACAGTTTATCTGTTCTAGTGATTACATCAGCTGTCTCAAGGGCTTTTACTTGTTTTGTTGTTGTTTTTTACCATGATGACCAGTTCTGTGAAGATTCTTTTGTATTTTCCAGACATGTGTAAGTTTTACCAGAATACATTCCTAAGTGTAAAATAGTGAGTCATAGTGTATAGTATACACTTCAACTGTACTGCAAAATGATTGCCTGTTGCCAAAATAGTTGTACCAAATTATTCTTCCAAGTGCAATTTATGGTTTTTGTTTGTTTGTTTGATTGATTGTTTTTGCCCCACGTCTTTGGCAATACTTTAGGTTTTTTGTTTGTTTGTTTGTTTTGTTTTTCAAGACAAGAGTTTCTCTGTGTAGCTCTGGCTGTCCTGGAACTCACTCTGTAGATCAGTATGGCCTTGAACTCACAGAGATCCTCCTGCCTCTGGCTCCCAAGTGCTGGGATTAAAAGTGCGCTCCACCATGCCCAGTTCCTTTTCTCAACATTTAATATTCATGAAAATATTAAAATTTTAAGCAATATGGACAGCTTAAAAATGAAACTTTTCTCTAAAAAATTCCACTCTATAGATATTTGTCAAGTCTGGTTTCCAGGGGTGGGGGGATGGGAGGGTGGGGTGGGGGGATGGGAGGATGGAGTGGGGTTAGGGTGGGTGGTGACTGGCAGTTTAAGAACTCTGTGAGAGTGGTCATGAGCATCTCTGGGGGAGGGGACATCCTCTAGTGGGCTTGGGTTTGGAGGGAGATGGGGAGGGGGCTTTGGTGGGACCTACACCATAACACCCCAGACTCTGGTATGGATGCCAGGGGCTGGGGAGAAGCTTCCACCTCAACACACCCTTGCTGGCAACTTAGCTTTTTCATTATTAACCAGTGTTTATCTTTTGGTAGGTGTCATTCTATGTAGTCATTCACTAAGTCTATACTTACCATGTGCAGGTCACTGTTCTAGTGTGATGGAATATCCATAGCAGCCTGTCTGCAGGGAGCCTATATTTTAGCATAAGAAATGATTAGACATTGAACATTGTAAATAACTGAATTAGAAATGTGGGTTGTAGCTCATTGGTAGAGTGCCTACCTAGAATATACTAGGCTCTGGCTCAGCCCCTAGTACTGCAAAGAATATAAGGTAACAAACTAATCAATGAATGAGGGTGTGGTATAGCGCTAATGTATGGAGCCCAGGTTCTTTCCCCAGCATGAATAAGTCAATAACTGAATGCTGTACTTGGGAGGTATTATGAACTACAGATTTAAAAAGACATGTGAAGCAAGGGAAAGGGAGATTGAGGACTATTGTAGAGGGATTGTCCTACTGCAGTCTGTATCCACCCATCCATCCTTTCATCCATCCCTCTCACAAGAGAGTGACATTATTCTGGGTGCTAGGGATGCATTGTGGATAAGATGTCTGATAGACATACAGCTTATGAACAAATAACTGTGAAAGAAAAGTAGCTGGCTAGGATGGGGAGAGGCTACTCAATCTAGATTGATGCTGAATGCTTTTCTCAGGAGGGAGCACATGGCATTCAACAGAATGCTATGACAGCACTTCTGAGTAACTAATTAATTGACCCCCTTTCATCCTAGGGTTGCTGGTACAGAAGAAGTGGTGATCCCCTGTGCTTCTGACAGTGACTCAGGAAGTGTAGATCTACAGCTGAGCAACTTAGAAGACATTCAGAAAGATGGAACTAATGTTGAATTTGCAGGTGAAACAGGGGAAGGATATATATGTATTTTTAAAAGTGAGTGGGGAGAAGAATTTTTGTCCTATTTTCCAAACAAGGAGTTGAAACCCAAGACTTCATACTGCTAGGCAAATGCTCTACCACCAAGCTACAACCTAGACCTACAACAGCACTTGTTACTCTTGCAGAACACTGGGTTCAAGTCCCAGAATCCACATGGTAGCTTATATCATGTGTTACTCCAGTCTCAGGGGATCCAGTGTCCTCTTTTGATCTCTGTGGCATTGCATGTACATAGGGGGAAAGTGACCTAGAGAGATGGAAATGGAGCTGGAAAGCCCGGGGAATCCCATTCACTCATTCGTATACTCAGCAGATGTCAATGCTCTGCTTTGCCCTAACATGACCAAACTCCTGAAGATACAGCAGCAAACAGAACAGCACCATATACTTACAGACACACTTACAGTTCTTACAGCTGGAATTAAATGTAATCCATGTGACAGGGTGTGGGGGTCAGAGTATTTGATATCCCAAAGTTCAGGAGGCATTTTGGAGCTGAGACCTAAAAAAAGGGTAGAAAGCAGCAATGTGTGGGAAGGAAGGGGAAATGTAGGCAGAGCAAGCAACCTGTGCCAAAACCAGAGGTAAAGGAGTATGTGGCTTTAATTGAATTGTAGTTAGTAGATGACAAGAAGTGGAAGAAGTTCCCAGCTGTGGCATTCAGGAGTCCAAAGAGAATACAAAAGTAGGGTTGAAATGCTCAGAGGATCCATTTAATCTTTTCCACTTAGCTTTGTATCTCCTGACACCCCCCCACACACACACCTCAGGGAAGCCGTGCTGATGTACTCGGCACTGGTACATGCACTCAGTGTACCAGCTCTTCGAATTGAGGGGTTTTGATTTTTTTTTTGAAACAGGGTTTCTGTGTAGCTTTGGAGCCTGTCCTGGAACTAGCTCTGTAGACCAGGCTGGCCTTGAACTCACAGAGATCCGCCTCCCTCTGCCTCCCAAGCGTTGGGACTAAAAGCTTGCGCCACCAATGCCTGGCTTGAATTGAGTTTTTAAAGGGTTTATTGTTAAGTCCAGACCCCTAGGATTTTCAGTTATTTATGAAATGCTGATTCTTTGTTCTATAAGGCCATTTGTTTTATCATTAAACTTGTTTGCTGACAAGAAGGTCAGATTCAGATAGCTTAGGACAAACTTCTGTGTTGGGTCTTCACACAGTAGACAACAGCTGATATTTATAAGGGTGACCCACCAGATGAACAATTTATCTGATGGAGGATAAACTCATAAACAAGGTTTATGGGTTCATTGCCTATAAATACTGTCTGCATCTGTCTATATTTCTCTTGTGTCAACCTGATCCCCCCATAAAATAGCCATGGGATTCTTCCCACGACTGTTGGCACTGTGTTCCTCGTCTGTTGGGCACTGTTGTTCCTGTAAATTGACAGAAGGATGACTTCCTCCTCTGCTGTGTACTTCTGGTGAATAAAATGTTCCCTTATGGTTTAGCCTTTGGTCCACGTAATGGTGAGAAACTTAAAAGCCTGTTTTCCATCATTAGCTAGCTGACAAGGCAATCAAATACAGTTAGCGGGACTTAGTGTCTCTGTGCATGCGTTGCAAGTTAGACTTTTTGCAGATAATACTCAAGGACGGTGGTGCAGATGTCTGCTTTGTGGAATCAAAGTCGTTTAGACACCTGGGACCTAAATCACTAGCCAGCTTCTTCTGCCAGGTGCAGTTGATAACGCACAGACGGGCGGAACTGGCGAGACTCCCTAAGCAATTAACGCTTTGTAAAAACCTCAGTTTATAGTACAGAATCCTAGATTCAGATACTCTCAGATAACTATCTTTTAGTACTGAAATTTATGTGGGTAACGAGGGCGGTGTGTGTGTGCAATTAACCAATTAACCAGGTCTGGAGGGAAACAGCTTTATGTCAATCACGCGGTGGTTTCACAGAAGACTACCGAAAACATCCTGGCCTCACAGCCTTGATTAAAAAGTTACTAGCTTCCCACTTGTAAATTCCCTCCTTGTGCTCTGAGGCTGGGCTTGGGCTTTCAATGCCACATTTGAAAGTGCTGAGATGTTCAGCGCTATTCCCCCCCTGCCCATTGCTTTAAGCTCCCTCAACCCCCAGGGGTAGCCAAGGACGCTGCTCACAAAGGCCCCCAGCCATACAGCTGCATTCTTGGGAGGGGGAATGCAACCTCACCTTTATGCCTTGTTAATCACACAAAGTCAGTCTATAAAGCTTAAGACACTTAAGAAATGTAGACAAGGGCTAGAAAGATGGTTGAGTGGTTAAGAGTACTGACTGCTCTTTCAGAGGACTGAGGTTAAATTCCCAACATTCATATGACAGCTCACAACTTGTCTGCAACTCCAGTTCCATGGGACCTGACACCCGTGGTGAAATACCAATGCACATAAAATAAAAATAAATTTTTAAAAAAATGTAGACTATCACACGACTTTATTTCTTTCTTAGACCCCTCAGTTGTTCTCTGCTATAACCCTTGTAAGCAACCTTAAGAGATAAGGAAGCCTATACTCCCTTTTGCAGCTGCCTACTAATCAGTAGCTGACAAGTTTATTGTGCAGGTGTCCCTTATTGTTTTACTTAAAGAATGCATCATAACCCTGAGAAAACAGCCTTTGTAACCTTTTTTTACTGCCTAAAGTTTGTTGTTGAATGTGTATGTAAGCTTTGTGAACAAAGAGGAAAGGGCGCACAGAACGAGAGCTGGAAATAAAGAAAGCATAACCCTCAGATAGTGTACACGGCTTTTTTCTTTAGATAGACAGGAAACTTTTTTACGTCCTCACTCACCGCTCTGAGGACATTCTGGCTGCAGCCCTGGTGCAGTTCTGGGAGCTGGCCTCACAGGCTGCTGTCCTTCTGTGCCTTCTCATCTGCATCCGAGACAGAGCAGCTTCTCTTGGTGTTTGTGTAGTCTGTTCATTTCTTTTTTGGTACAGTTGTTGGAAATGTCTAGATTTTCAGCTCCTGGGAGACATACCAGAAGCAGGGTGTGTTCCCCTGTAGACACCGCTCTCCCCCCAATCCCTGTTTAAAGTTGAAAGCTGACTGTAAACATTTAATGTTAGCTTTCACCATTTGGCGCTCTGAATTAAGATGGAAGAATTTTTAGAAATTATCTTCCTGAAAAAAGATCTGTGGGATTATTGTGACCTAAGAATAAACTGGTCTCCTGAAAAACTTCAACCATTTATTCAAATTCAGACTATTGGAGAAGGTTCAAGGAGCACCAGTCAACAGTTGGCAAAGGCATTCAGACTTGAGATTTTAAAAGTTATCACCTTCACCATTTTGTTACTGCCCAGGCCTAAAGGTCCTTGTGACTGGAGGCTCTAAGAACACAGATTTGCAGCTGAGAAAGACAGAGTTGGAGGGAGGGGGTCTTGGTCCTGCAGGCAGGAGAAGCTGTGAGCCCAAGCCAGTACTCTGTACCACTTCACACCACAGAGGTGTCACCCGTATCTTTCTTTTTATTAGATTCGGACATCCCTGACATCCCTGAACTCGTTCAAGAGTCCCTTCCAGATAACCTCAGACCCCAGACTCCCCAGGCACCGCTCAATGAGGCCAGTATTGAGAGGCTGGTCCAGTCCATCCAGGAGGTTTTACATGGTGAGCTAAAGGTACGAATGACAGTCTTGAGCAATCCAATTTATTATTTTTAATAAAAAATATTTTATATATTTTATTGATCATAAATAAATACAAGTCTTAATAAAAGTCAAAGGTTAATCTTCTCTAGCCCACTCTCTTGACATAACACTTAGCACTTTCTGCTCCTACAAATATAATTACAGGAAAAACAGTCCACACAGGTTTTAGGTGAGTAACTATTGATTACTGCCAGTTTACTGGGCCAGTGTTCCATTGTTGAGGAGAGCTAGTTTCCCACCCTAATGTGGAGTAGTTTGCTTGATCTAGTGTTGTGGGATATTCTATCACATTGTGAACTCTGAGTTTGCATTTGTGTTAATTAAATAAAATCAGCCTTGGGCCAGGAGTCCTACTTAGCAACTAGTTGACAGAAAGTAATCATAGAGAGTCATAGGGTGTCTGTAAGATGACAGAGAGATGCACAGGAAGTAGTAGGAAGGGATTTAGTGTAGCATAGATTCTTTTTTTGGTGCAGCAGAAGGGTGCTTTCTTTAGGAGACACCAGCAAAGAGGAAAAAACTAGTTGCTACTCAGTGTCTCTGAGCTAGCAGGTTTTCACCACAGCTTTCGACTCCCAAGTCTTCTTGATAAGTAGAACGGTAGAGATTTAATTAAAAGCTATATTTGGCAGCAGCAACATAGTCAGTGCCTTCCGGAACAGAATTCCTGCCAGGCTGCAGCCTGAGTATCCAGACTGTTGCCAGAGAAGCAGGCCAGTAACTGCAGATCCACATTCACTGGCTAAAACAGCAGCAGATTAAAGTGTGGCCTGTGAACCGACAGAAAAGCAACAGCCTGGATCATGAGAGGCATTTACTACAGCAACTTATTTCTGGTATTATTCCCAGCAATTTCACCTTCTTTGGGGCTTTTACATTTCATTTAGCCATTCAACTGGAGTAAATGAATATATACCTGCTATTATAAGGCCTAATGCCAGACACACAAGTAGTATGGTGAGATTGAAAGTGTCAGACTACAGTACATCTATAAAACAGAATGCTAACTGCTACTCATCAATAAAAGGGTAAACTGCTAATAAGTGGAGCCACACAAGTTCCATCTCAATGGCATTATTACCAGTGAAAGAAGCCAATCATAGGGACAGTATGAGTCATACTTTCAGTTGTGGGACACATTAGAAAAGACAGAACAATGATGGCAAACAGATGAGTGGTTCCCATGGGAGGGCATGGAGAAGGGCATGGCTAGAGAGGGATGCCAGCATGAAGGAAACCTAAGGAGTGATGAAACTGTTCCGTACCCTGATGATAACATATATGTGCATGTCTTAAAATTCACAGAACTAAGCCACAAGTTAGTGGCACATGCCTTTGATCCCAGCACTTGGGAGGCAGAGGCAGGTATATTTCTGTGAGTTCGAGGACAACTTGGTCTACAGAGCGAGTTCCAGTACAGCCACAGAGAAACCCTGTCTTGAAAAACAAAAAATAAAACAAACAAAAAAAAAATCATAGAACTATATACTTTCTTCAAAAAGTCCATTTTGTTATATGATGCTTTAAAAAGTCAAAAAATTACCTTGTGCCTTATAACTATAATCAGCTGTAAGTTGTCAAATTATACTAAAGAGCCTTTAGGGCCTACTCTGGGACAGGGTAGAGACAGGCTTCTGGAATACTGGTAACAATTTTTCCTTGTAGTGTAAATGAGTATTCTTGGTTTATAAATTTGTTTAAGTTATATATTTTATGCATAATGCTAATTCATAGTAACAACAATACACCAGAAGTCAGTTTGTTGGTATTCACTTTTGATGAGAATCTTTTTATTTTTAAATTTTGGAATGACTCTCTGTGTTTAATATTAAAGGTTTTATAAAAATTTTCTTTGTTTAATAAAGGGTTTGGGTTGCTGCAGTGATTTAAAACAAAAGAAAGCCAATTCCTTCATTAACAAAGGAATAGATAAAGAAGAAAATAATTATATGAGATTATCTCAGATGCTGTGATAGCTGTGGCTGCACTTAGGTAGGGATGGTAACTGTTTCAAGACAAAAAGGACAGCACAACTCTTAAAATATATGCATTTCTAGCAAAAAATGTAGAGAAGGCAGGAGGTTTACAGGCCCAGAAGCAAGAAAGGGCATCATGGAAGTGAACTGACTGGGCTTGTGACTGCCTCAGGTCAAGGCAAGACATGAACTGATGAGGTCAGCTAGATCACATTGGGAAGGGCCCAATAACACAACTGTAGATAAGGAGTTACCTGATCAAATTTAGAAATTGTGCCTGGTCCAAAAGAAACAAAACAAAACAAAACAAAACCCCCAGCAAGAGAGCAGGGTGGTGGAGCGGTCAGTCCTGCAGTTTCAGCACTTGGGGCAGGTGGAGGCCAGAGTGGCTCCTTGCTCTCCAGGGAGAGTGTGTGAGTTTCCACCATCTGTAACTGGGGGAGACTGGAAGAAGTGTTAGTCTCTACTTTCCTCTTTGTGCTTCACTTCAAAGTTTCTGTAATACGTAGCTTTGCCTCTCTGATCAGAAAAATGAAATGTCAGTTGAAAGACTACATTCAAATCAGAACTTACATTTTTAAAGGAAGCCTTAAGAACTTGAAATGGTGACTCTTTAATGGCATCAGAAGAATTCGAAGAGGCCATCCAGGGTCACCATCGGGAATCTTAGTCTCAGCTCAATAGAGGGTAGGTGGACAGTGTGGTGAAGCCTGAGGTGGGGAGAGCCTGGAGCACTTAGTGCTGCGGTGGAGGGCATGATGTCCCCCGCCAAGGCAGGGGGTAGGGAAGTGCATCCGGTCCTTCTGTACTTTGTGGACTCCTTATGGGTAGAGAATAACCCTGGACTGAACAAGATGTCATGTGTTTAAAAACATTCCAAGAAACTTTGGAAAGCATTATATTTATCAAATAAGATGATGTATAATTGTGTTTTTAATCATTTTCCCCACAAATTCAGGGTGAACCTGAAAAGTTGATGTTCCTAAGATCTTTGTCTTCCTTGAGCCAAACTTTACCTTATGATGAAACCATAGAATCATTTATTCACCGTCACACACCAGAAATAGTGCATGTCCTAAGTGTAAGTACTGTGGGTTTGGCAGGGATTACTGCGTCCTGGAACTGTGGACTTGGCCCACGGAGTTTTCACCCATGTTATCAGTTCTTTGCATAGCGGTGGCTGCTCAACAAGAGAAAACACTCTGAGACACCTCTCAAATGTAATTGCCTTGGAAATAAAAAGAAAAACAAAAAGAGAGGAATTGCATTTAAGTTTTTAGCAATTGAAACATTTAAACAGTAGTCTGGGGCAAAGTCTGTCAAATGCTTGGGTTCAAGTATCAGCTCTGCCTCTTTATAGCTGTGTGACTTCAGAAAGATTTAACTTATGAATGAATGCCTCAGTTTCTTCGTTGATAAAATAAGAATAGCTGTATTTACTTCACAGACTTATTTTGAATATTTACTTAAAAATAAATGTTAAGTAGCCAGGGGGTGGTGGTGGCCCACACCTTGATGATCCCAGCACTTGGGAGGCAGAGGCAGGCATTCTCTCCGTCCCCAAAATGCAGTCTAGCCATGGGCCAATCAGCTTTTTATTAACCATGAGAGCAACACATGTTCACAGTGTACAGGATTATTCCACAGCACTTGATGGAAGAGCAAAGCCCTGAAAATGACACAGATGAGTGGGTCAAGAGGAAGTTATCTAAGTAATGGACTACATAGAAGCATGAAGTCCATGCTGACTCTCATACACGCACACAACCCCACCTACTTGTCAAATCGTTTAGCCTCTCTAAACCTAGATATTTTAATATCTGCCTGACTTTCACTGAGATCTTTGAGACAAACTCATTTTTTAATGATACCATTTCAGTTTTTTTTTTTACATTATTTCTATGATAAGTATACTCTGAGAAACTACTCACGAACATCCAATTCAAACATAACTTTGTTTGTTTGTCTAAGTATATTGACCAGGCTGGCCTGGAACTCGCAGAGATCCAACTGTCTTGGCCTCCCACCATATCTGGCAAGTTGAAGTCACTTTTCTCACATCTGTCCCTCCCTTCCCTATGGCAGATCCAGCGTCCTGCCTTTTCTTTGCTTTTCTTCCGCCCAGAGAGAATGTCTCCCTTTGTTTCCACAGAACTACTTCCCACATGCAGTCTGTTTATCACCTGATCAACTAGATGAGTCTTGGCAGGGTCACATAGTAGTGAGACTACTGGTGATCTTTTCAGGCAGAAGTGGTGACAGTGACACTGTGATCTGGACAGTTACCCAGAGGTACCTACATCACAAGTATCTTCTAGGCAAAGACCATTCAGTTAGCCACTGAATCCTTGTAGTGGCTAACATAATTGGGAACAAATGACAAAGCCTTCCTCCAGAGGATGCAGATCAGTTCCCAGCACCGACAGCCTGTCACTTATAAACCTAGTTCTAGCGAAGCAGATGCCTTCCTCTAGCCTTTGGGCACTGTACACACAGCATGTATTCATACACACACACACACACACACACACACACACACACACACACACACACATAATTAAAAAAATTTAAGAAAGGATCATTCTGACAGAAATGGCCCAAACAGATTGAAATCGGAAGGCATTAATTAGGCCTGAAGGTTCAGCTAAAACGTGCTGTGTTGATCTATATGTGAGGTGTATGACTACAGAAATGAGTAACCGCCAAGACTCTGCTGGAATTGATGAGAGTGGGATGTGAGCACAAGTTGGAAAGTCATGTCATCTTTTCATGAGCCCTGGGGGAGGTTGATTGACAGCCAGGAGGACAGGTTCTTTAGAAGAGGGTAATGGTAGATTGCAGCTGTGATTTTAGTTGTGACCCCTTGAGAGAGATAGCTACACATGATGTGAACAGCCCTGGCTGTTAAGGATGAAGACAGTCTGAATGCTGTATCCTTTCCAGCCTGTAAAACTGTGAAGATAGATGAGTTCCTTTAGAACTAGGAAAAGCAGCAAACCACCATTCAGATCCAAGTTTGAATCCAGAGTAAAGCTGAGAGATCTGGGTAATATCGTCTGAGCACATTCTGCCTGCTGAGTCCCATGAGGACACTGGAGGAGAACTCTAAAGGCAGCTGCAGCATGGGAAAGGCAAAAGGTTTTCCCCAGACCCCATCAAGGGAGAGAAGAGGCTGTGGCAGCCATATGCTCCAGGAGGCCTTCCCTCCACTTACCAGGACTCCTCTGAACATTTGTCCATTATTCGCCATCTCCTCTCTTCCCAAAATTGCCTCTCTTTAATTTTGTTCCCTGGACCCATGCTTCTAAATGCTAAAATCTCCCTGAAGATCAGCCAGAGATTGCTATGGCTATTCATGCCAGTAATGCCTAGGTAGAGGGACTGAGTTTGGGAAATGTATAAGTTAATGACTATCCAGAGAGAATGTCCAAGATGTCCCAAATCCAGGTTCCTGAGGGAATCTAACTGCCCTTGGTGTCTCTCCTGAATAATTCAACTGTGACCAGGGGGAGAAAATGACACAGCAGAGATGTGGCTGTGAAATGCTCGTCCTTATGGGTCAGGGCAGTTCATGTGGAAAGGGGGACAATCCAGTGAGGTTTCACCACATTCAGTCAAGTTACACCCACAGTAGCTCCTCATGTGAACTCCTGAGAGCCACCCCAGATCCTCTACAGCAGAGGGAACAAAGCATCCAAGCCAGGGGCCTCTGGATGAGTGCATGGCAGAGCCAGGGGCCCTCTGACCCCAATACTCCTCTTGTTTCTGTAGGGTCTGAGAAAGGCAGACAAGGAAGAGAGCAACCCCTTTATTTGGGGCAGAAGCTCACATAGGAGATCTCTCTCAAAATCAGCCTGCTTTGTGTTTCCAGGCTGGGGTGGTCATAGGGTAGAAAGACAAGTAGGGGAAAGGCATTGAAAAGTTTCCTTCTGAAGGTACACAGTTGTTGCTGGGGTAACCAGTGAGACTCAGCTAAGAAATATTAGGTAAGGGATAGATAAACATGTTTTCCTGAACACCATAACTGGGGATCCATGGGGTTGAGAAGACAGGAATCTGGAGACACAAGTTACTGTAGTTATGGGAATTTTCATAGAGCAACCAGAATAGAGGAGCTTCACAAACCAGCATGGCTCTGGTGGAGATCCCTGTCTGTCAACCTGCAGCACAGTTTCCCTGTCAATTTTTAAATTGGAAAGTTGTTCCTTTTTCAGGACAAACCATCAGGATGTTAGCTATGTTTCTAGTTTCCTTTCTGTGACTGTGAAAAATAACCTGATACAGCCGGGTGCGTGGTGTGTCTTTAGTCACAGCACTCGGGAGGCAGAGGCAGGTGGATCTCTGTGAGGCTAGCCTGGTCTACAGAGCAAGTTCCAGGACAGGCTCCAAAGCCACAGAGAAACCCTGTCTCAAAAAACCAAAAAAATTTAAAAAAAAGAAAGGAAGAAAGATAACCTGATCAAAAGCAACTTGGGGAAGAAAGGGTTAAGGGTTTGTTTGGCTTTGTTCCATCATGGAAGGAGTCAGGGCAGGAGCTCAAGCAGTCAGTCATATCACATCCTCAGTTAAGAAAAGAGAATGAGCTAGGCAGTGGTGGTGCACACCTGCAATCCAGCAGAGGCAGAGAGGGAGGCAGAGAGGCAGAGGCCTTGTGAGTTTCCAGATGGCTGAAGTTCTTTTCCTGTCACTGCAGGTGCTGGTACAAGAGGAGCCTCTGCACTCTCTATCCAGCATGGTGCGCCAGGAACTCTTTGTCACCATCACTGATCTCAGGTGACATCCACATGTACCTTACACATGCATCCTGGTTTCTGGTTCAGGGGCATACGCTGCTAGAGCTCATTAAAATGCCCCATATTTAGGGCTGGCGAGATGGCTCAGAGAGTAGAGGCACTTGCCATCAAGGATGATGACCTGATGTTGGTCCTTGAACCCATATAGTAGGAGAGAGCCAGCTCCCATAAGTTCTCTGACTTCTATACAGGCTCTGTAGCAAGTGTGTCTCCCTGAATGCTCCCACATTAAATAAATGCATGCAATTCTCAAAATGCCCTATGGCGTTTTAATAAGTAAGGATCAGGATAAACAAATAGGCCGAATAGATGTTTATTCAGGGAGAAATAACTTACAACCTAGACAGTTCCACCAATGCTCTCTCTGCGTCCCGCCAGCAAGAGAGCATTCCCCGGCACCTCCTCAGACCTCCTTCCACAGGTCACTTTCGCCCCTGGCTCCACCCCCAATGGGCATGGTCAGTGCCACAGAAGGATACAAAGGGAATATCCCACTACAATGCCCCATATATTTAACTTTTGAAAACTGTCTATATGAGTGTCTTAGGGTTTCTAATGCTGTGAAGAGACACTATGACCATGGCAACTCTTATAAAAGGAAAACATTTAATCGGGGTGACTCAAGTACAGTTCAGGGATTTAGTCCATGATTGTCATGGCAGGAAACAAGACAGCAGGCAGGCAGACATGGTGCTGGAGAAGGAGCTGAGAGTTTTACATCTTGACCCACAGGCAACAGGAAGTGCAGAGAGACACTGGGTATCTTGAGCATAGAAAACTTCAAAGCCCGCCTGTAACGAGTATGGTTTTTCCGCCCGCCACCGCGCCAGCCCCAAATAACACACAGAGACTCTATATTTGATATTATGCTGTTGGCCAGGTGCTAGTTTCTTATCGGCTAGCTCTGTCTTAATTATTAACCCATTTCTATGTATTTCCACGTGGTCTTACCAGCGAGAGGTGGCTGGCGGTTCTAGTCTCTCCAGACTCTCCATCCTGACTCCTCCTTACTACTTCCTCTTTCCTCCTTGTCTCCTAGTCCCTCCTATCTTCCTTTCCTATTGGCCAACGGTGCTTTATTCATTAACCAGTATGAGAAACATATACAGAATGACATCTCCCATCACCCGCCCCCACAGTGACACACTTCCTCCAACAAGGCCACACCTCCTAAAAGTGTCCCACCCTATGAGTTTATGGGGACCGCTTACATTCAAACTACCACAGTGGGTAAAAGCCAAATCCATATTCTATTGTGAGAACTATAATATCATGTGTGATGGCTAATCTTGGTTGTTGTGGTTTGAAAGAAAATGGCCCCCAAAGGGAGTGGCATTATTAGAAGGTATGGCCTTGTTGGAGGAAGTGTGTCCCCGCAGGGGTGGGCTTTGAGGACTTTTTATTTAAACTTCCCTCAGTGTGATTTTTTTGTTGACTTCCTGTTGCCTGCAAGATATTGCACTCTCAGCTCCAGCACCACATCTGTCTACACACTGCCACCACCGCCACCACCGTCACCACCGCCACCACCGCCACCACCGCCACCACTGCCACCACCGCCACCACCGTCACCACCGCCACCACCGCCACCACCGCCACCACCGTCACCACTGCCACCACCACCGCCACCACTGCCCCCACCACTGCCACCACCGTCACCACTGCCACCACCGCCACCACCGCCACCACCGTCACCACTGCCACCACCGCCACCACTGCCACCACCACTGTCACCACCACCACCGCCACCACTGTCACACCACTGTCACCACTGCCACCACTGCCACCACTGCCACCACTGCCACCACCACCACTGCCACCACCGCCGCCACCGCCACCACCACCACTGCTACCACTGTCACCACCACCACCACCACCATGCTCCTGTCATGATGATAACGAACTGAACTTCTGAAACAGTAAGCAAGCCACCACAATAAAATGTTTTCTTTACAAGAGTTGCCATGGTCGCTGGTGGTGCACACCTTTAATCCCAGTACTTGAAAGGCAGAGGCAGGCTGGTCTCTGTGAGTTCAAGACCAGCCTGGTCTACAAGAGCTATTTCCAGGACAGGCTCCAAAGCTGCACAGAGAAACCTTGTCTCTGGGAGGTGGGGGGGGGAGTTGCCATGGTCATGGTGTTTCTTTACAGCAATAGAAACCTTAACTTGACTTGCAGTTGTCTGCTTGATACACCTGGGAAGAAGGAACCCTATGACCCTGTTTTTTCTTAATTGCTAATTGATGTAGGAGGGCCCAGACCACTGTAAGAGGTGCCATTGTTGGGTAGGTGAGAAAAATAGCAGACTATGAGCAGTTCCTCCCTGACCCTGACTCCAGGTTCTTGTCTTGGCTTCTCTTGATCATAGGACTCTGACCTGTGAGATGAAAGAACTCTTTCTTCCTCAAGTTGCTTTTGGTCAGGGTTTTATTCCATTAATTGAAAGCAACCTAGAATGTCCTGAATGCTGCCATCCACATGTCAGAGACCTTAACAGAATCTCTTTGGAGTTCAGTTCTACCCAAAGTATATTCAAGGGAAAGTGATTCTCATACATGTAAGGTCTAAGGGATTTACAAGGGTATGCGATGTTTACATCTCTTGGAGACTTGTACTTCAACTGTGCTAGTTAACATTTCTGAGATGACCTGAGGCTAAAGCCTTAACTCTCTCAACTTAGATTCATCAGAGCACATTTGGGAAATTGTGAATTATTGTATTAGGATGCTGCAGGCTTGCCTCTGTAGCTAAGCTGGAGAAGAATCTGGAAGGACTCTGCACCAGGGACTGGGGTGGGAATGGACAGAAACACAGTTCCTCCAGCCTCTCATGAGATCCTTCAGAATGTATGGCTCCTCCATGCAGCCATCTGTTGCATCAGAGTGTTGCACCAGCCGGTGTTCCAGTCCTCTTGACTATTTTAGGAGTCAAGGTACCAGTTTAACGTCAGAATCTCCCAAACTGTCTTTCCCTAGTTACAAAGATGTGCACCTCTTGTTTGGCTCCGAAGACCGAGAAGACTTGCTTGGTCTTATCACCAAAAGTATAATCTCTCTGCCTGCCATAATCACCCCTACCCAGCTGCCGAGCACAGTGTCAAACCAGACCAACCACCCAGAGGTAAGTCACCTTTTGCTTGAGATGTACTCTCATCCCCGGGTCAGCTGCTCTTCATCTTTTGAGACCAATTGATGGTTTGAAAACAACTAAAAACCAGTGATGTCAAGACAGGTGGACATAATCAAATATAGCTTTCTCTCCTTTTTTGTCTGGTTGTGTGTTCCTTCATTTTCCCTTTGCTCCTCCTTTCTTTTCTTTGGATTTAAAATAAAGTGGAAGCTGGACATGGTGGCTCTTGGGGAGAAAGATGCAGACAGATCTCTTTGAGTTCAAGGCCAGCCTTGCTGTTCTACATAGCAAGATTCAAGCCAGCCAGAGCTACAAAGTGAGACCCTGTCTCAAATAAAACAGTAACAACAATAACATAGTAATAGTAATAGTAATAATAATAATAATAAAGGGGCAGTATTCACTCATGTGTTTTGTAGACTTTCTGTTTCCTTTTATTTTTGAGAGATCTCTCTGTATAGACAGGCTGGTCTTGAACTCACAATTCTCCTGAGTGTTGTAATTATAGGTTTGTTATGCCACCAAAAACACAACAAATGCTTCCTTTCTTAATTTTTTTTTTTTTTTCAGACAGGATTTCTCTATATTGCTTTGGAGCCAGTCCTGGAACTCACTGTGTAGACCAGGCTGGCCTCGAATTCACAGAGATCCACCTGCCTCGCCTCCCGAGTGCTGGGACTAAAGGCGTGCACCACCAGTTCCTGGCTAAATGTTTATTTTTTTAAACTTAAAATTTAATTTTGTATTGTTAAAATTTTTGTGCATCTACTATTATGTGTTGATGAACACCCTCCCATTTCCCCCTACTCTCCTTTCCCTCACTACTACCTCTTTTCATTTTACTGACATTTCTTGAAGTGCCACCATGTGTTAAACATGACACAAAGAGATGAGTAGTGTGCAGCCTCACTCTGACAGCCTACCTCTTAATGTAGAGACAGACAGAGCACTAATAGCGTATGTCTGCTGGCGAGAAGTACAAATGCTATGAAGAGAATCAAGCAGGAGAGGAGGAGGAAGTGCTGGGATTCGGGGCACAGGGCCTTTTTATGAAAGTGGTCATTTGTTGGTAGAATGAAAGCAGAATAGAGGAGCTCCAGGCTGAGGAAAGGGTCAATTTCCTCCTTGGCTGTTGAGTAGACTGATCAGGGAGTTGTGGAAGGTTCAGATAGCTCCCCTGTTTCAGTACATTCAGAACAAAGTCAGCTTTGAAGGTATTTGGATGACCTCTACACAGTTTCCCAGATGTAGTCCATAACCCCAATTCCAGGAATTTTACAATGATCATTTTATTTCTCTTCACCTCATGCCACAAACTGCCCACAGGTGCTTTGATTCTGGCTCTGGCTTTTATTTAGCAAAGCCTCAATGTTGTGGGCATCGCCAGGTGAGCATGGTGCTTGGGGACTTTGCCCAGAGGGAGCCTTGCTGATTCTGCACCTTTTTAGTGTCTCTACAGACAGACGTTCCAGGCCTTCTCTGTGATGCTGCAGAGCCTGGTGATAAAAGACCCACATTTGGAAAACTTTGACAGCATTTTTAAGGTAAATGAAATGTCAGATGTAGTGGTTTGAAAGAAAATGGTTCCCAAAGGGAGTGGCATATTAGGAAGTGTCGCTTTGTTGGAGTGGGTGTGGCCTTGATGGAGGAAGTGTGTCACTGTGGACCTGGGCTTTGAGGTCTCATATATGCTCAAGCCAAGCCACACCCAGTGTCTCAGTTCACTTCCTGTTGCCTGCAAGATGTAGAACTCTCAGCTCCATTTCCAGCACCTTGTCTGCCTGCACACTTCCATGACCTACCATGATAATAATGAACTAAACCTCTGAAACTGTATGCTACCCAATTAAAGATTTTTCTTTATAAGAATTCCTGCGGTCATTTTGTCTCTTCACAGCAATAGAAATTCTAAGACACCAGAGGACAAAGGAAAGTTCTACGCACTGGTAAAAATGGAAGAAAAAATAGAGAAGAAGTTAAGCTATATGAGGCAACCCTGTAGCTGAAAGTACTGTCCTTTTTTCCCCCCAAACATTTTATTTGTGTGTGTGTGAGTGAGTGTGCTTGTGCCATGGCACACATGTGGAAGTCAGAGGACAACTTGCAGGCATCACGTCTCTGTTCCCACCACTCAAGTTCCAAAGGTTGAACCAGTATGGTCATGCTTAGTGGAAAATATCTGTAGTCATAGTCACTGAGCCATCTCACCGTTCCCAAAGCTATCAGTTTTGAAGCAGAGGCCTGGAGTTGAATTCTAAAGGCCTTTTATTGGTCACAAGTCCTCTGCCACAGAATTGGATTTCCTCACTGCCCACAAAGATAACAGTTACCCTGAATATTGAATAAATAGCCTCTAGGAAGTGGCTTAAGTCATTATTACAATGTTCTTTATTGTTCCTCTGTAGCAGAGAAGGATTTGGTGAATGCCCAGAACCTGAGTCAGTCTCCTAAGTTAGTGAATAGGCAGCTTCCTGCCATGTAGGACTCATACACAGAAAATGACTGCTTGCCTCCACCTTTAACCAATCCAGCATATGCTGTCCATCAATTGGGATCTAGTTATCACAATCATTCACTGCCATTCAAGTATGTTGCTCTTGCTTCTTTTTAAGATGTACCCACCCTACGAAGAGAGAACCCTTTCAGTTGTTAGTAGCCCTGTGCACCTGAGCATAGACAGCATTCATTCTTGCCATATCTGACACTGACATTAAAATTGTTCCTCTTCTCTGTTTGTCCATCAACATGACAGTCAGTCTGGGTTCTTCCCTCATCTGGTTGCACTTGCATTTTCCTGTCCTGGCAGCTAATTCAACCATTTCTTCTGTTGAAAGTAGCTTCCTTTGAGCTCCAGCTTTTAGTCTTCATCTTCCCTCTGCATCCTTTCCTGTCTGCTCAGGTAGATGGACTTTCCTGTCTTTAGTTCTTAAAAAAAAAAAAAAAAAAAAAAAAAAAAAAAAAGATTTATTTATTTTTATTTTATGTGCATTGGTGGTTTTGCCTGCATGTCTGTGAAGATGCCAGATTCCCTGGAATTGAAGCTGCCATGTGGGTGCTAGGAATTGAACCTGGGTCCTCTGGAAGATTCATCAGTGCTCTTAACTGCTGAGCCATGTCTCCAGCAAACCCCCCCCCAATCTCTAGATCTTTAAGAGCATATCATTAACCATTTCTTTCTAATGCAGATTTGAAAGGGCTGAAAACAGCCAAAAGAATAGATTAAAGTATTGCAATGAAGCAATGAAGAGAGATAAGTCTAGATATCAAACTTTGAAGGAGCCAGGGATTTGTGTCTTGCTTGTCAACCAAGCCCCTCTAATATAAACTGCTTCATCATTAGTGTAGCAGGCTTTCTTGAAACTACCAGCCCCCAAATCATGACACAGAGACTTATTAATTATGAATGCTCAGCCTTAGCTTAGGCTTGTTTCTAGCTGTTTTTATTTAACTTAAATTAACCCATTTCTTTTCATCTATGTGTTGCCCCAAGGCTCATTTACCTCACCTACATACTCTCCATCCTGCTTTCCTGCTTCCTCTGTGCCTGTGTGGCTGGCCGCCTGCTGGCTGGCTGGCTCCTCTTTCCTCCCTGTCCCCCAGCCCCAATGATGATTCCTATTCTGTTTAGCTGTTGGTTGTTCTCTTTTTATTAGGCCAATCAGGTGCCTAGTAGGCAAGGTAAGACAGCAACACATCTTTACATAGTTAAACAAATATTCTATCCCACAATACATTAGGAATGATTTTTAGATATTGAAGTAATGTAGATTTTCTTGTTTCACATGTTCTTTTTAACATAGAACAAGTTGTACTTCAGATATTCCTGACAGACCATGTGACCTTCCTTCTTTTTTAATAGCACATGGACTCCTGGTTACAGTCATACAAAGACCATGAGCGAGAACGAGCTACAGCCGTCATGGCCCAAGTCCTCAAATGCTTATCCTGTTATCTCAGCCTGAAGGTGAGTAACATTGGGTGGTTAAGGAAGAAGCATGCAAGCATTCCTTTATTGTTTCCTCCCTCTGTAACTCAGCTGGGGCCATGTATCCCACTGGTTCTGGTATAGTTTTCCAGTACTCAGCCTTATTTCATGTCTGATCCAATCCTAAAATTTTCTCAGTTTGAGGGCACATACTATTTGTTAATCTTTGTATCCTTATTATTAAACATGACAGCTAAAGCACAATGCAGTAAATGTTTCTGAATAGGTGAATGAATAAATGTAATCTGAAAATGTCTAAAGGGCTCACACCGACCTGAGCTCTGTGTAGTGTGTCTTTGAAGAAATGAAGTCAAGCTAGATGTGTCAGGGCATGCATTTAGTCCCAGCACTTAGGAGGCAGAGGCAGGCTCATCTCTGGTAGTTAGAGGCCAGCCTGGTCTACAGAGTGAGTTCCAGGACAGCCAGGACTACACAGAGAAACCCTGTCTCAAAAAAACAAATATATATATATATAATAAAAGAGTAAAAGAAAGGCCAGTTCAGACTAATCAATAAGAGAATCGCATTGTTGCTGGCTGTGCTGAAGCAGGAGAGGGAATCTGAAAGACAGAGACCAGATAGAAACCTGCACCTGAGAGAAAGATTTTAAAGACTAAAGACAAAGTAAGAACCTGGAAAGAAGTTTTATCAGCAAGTAAAAGTATACACTCAAGGGTGAATGGAGGTATTCCCACAGTCAGTCATACCCACCAGTGTTGGGACTGCATTTTTCATGGATAAACATAATGACAGAGAAGATTTACATCCTTCTGTTTGCTGTAACTATGTGTTGCTTTATTTTTTGGAGACAGGATTTCTCTGTGGCTTTGGAACCTGTCCTGGAACTAGCTCTGTAGACCAGGCTGGCCTCGAACTCACAGAGATCTGCCTGCTTCTGCCATCTGAGTGCTGGGATAAAAGGTGTGTGCCACCAATGCCAGATGAATATGTGTTACTTTTATTAGTTGATAAATAAAGCTGTTTTGGACAATGGCCAAGCAGGATAGAGCCAAGTAGGAAATCCAAACAGATAGGTGGAGAGAAAGAAGGCTGGGTTAGAGAGATGCCGTGTAGCCACCAAAAGGGTTAGATGCCACAACATTACCCTTAAATCACAGCCACGAGGTGATATATAAATGGAGGTTTCTCTCTGGCCAACCAGTTCCTGAATAATCACTCAGAGGCTTGATTTTCATTATAAATTGTCTGGCCAGTGGCTCAGGCATATTACTCACTAGCTCTCAAATTTAAACTAACCCATTTTTACTAATCTGTGTATCACCACATGGCCGTGGCTTACAGGTAATGTTCTGGCATCTAACTCCTTTTGCAGCTACATGGCATTGAAGGGACTAGCCCCTGCTTTAGCAGCTATGTCAGGCTGCCGAAAAGACATGTAGGCCTCTGACTCAGCTCATGTCTGACCTTGCTCCTACTGCCCTAGTCACTAGGAAGTCAGTCAGATACCCTCCTTGTTGCAAGGAACCAATCAGAACTTAGCTGGTGGGGCTGTGCTTAAGGTCTCGAGTGTGCTTTATGGTACAAGTGCACAACAGTGACATGCAGAGCATAGCAACTGCACTGGGAGAGCCTATAGGGCATAACAACCAGTTGACCAGTCAACACAAGACAGGTCATCCAAGCCCGGAAGCTCACCAATCCCGAGACTGTTGTGTACCCCTACACTCCCTTACACTGCTCCATAAGTTTCTGCCACGACAGACGAATGAAAGGCCTGAGTTAGCTTGTTAAACAACAACAAAAGACTCTTTGCTTTTGTATTGGAACAGGTCTCTTGGTGATTTGGGGGTTCAGAATCTGGGAACAACAGCATCTCCCTGACTACTCCTTTCTCTCCATATCTCTGTTTGGATTTTCTGCCTGGCTCTATTCTGCATGACCATCGACTAAAACAGCTTTACTCATCAATCATTAAAAGCAACATATATTCACAGTGTACAGAAGGACATCCCACATCACAGGACCACTAGAAACACCAGTGTAGGTGTGGCCCCCACCCACAATGAGCTGGCTGAGTTTTCCCATGAATCACTACAACAGTGCCCTACAGCTGGATCTTTCTTTTTTATAATTTTATTTTGTGTGCATTGGTGTTTTGCCTACATGTATGTCTGTGTGAGGTGTTGGATCCTGGAGTTACAGACAGTTGTGAGCTGCTATATGGGTGCTGGGAATTGAATCTGGGTCCTTTGGAAGAGCAATTAGTGCTCTTAACTACTGAGCCATCTCTCCAGCCCCTACAGCCAGATCTTATGGGGGCATTTTATCAATTGCTAGTCCCTCTTTTCAGATAATTCTAGCTTGTGTCAAATTGACATAAAACTAGCCAGCACAGGCTAGAACTTTGAAATGTGTGGCAGTTACTTGTGATTTTGAAGGAGCCTGGAGGCAGCATGAGCTTTGATATACCCATAGGCACCACAGGTAGCCATAAGTCCCTTCTGCCAGAGAAAAGGGAAGTGACTCCTTTTGGTAGAGAATGTCAGGTTCCAAAGAAACAAATGGATTCTGTGGTGCCTATTAGCATACCAAAGTGTCTTCTTTGGCCTCCAGTACTCTCATCCTGCCTCTACCTGCTCCAACCCTTTCCAGCCCCAGGGGCTCCCCTTCCCCTTCCCAAGCTTCCTATTCCTATATAACCATCATTTTGGCCCTTCATTCTCTGGCTCCTCTCTTGGTTCCCTTGCTCCTCTCGTCTCTTCCTCTCTCAACCCCCCCTCCATGGCCCACTTCTGTCAGGACTCCTCCAGATGCCTCTGGCTGTTCTTTCCAAATCCACAATAAAATCCTCCTCAACCCTTTCTTGGAGCAGTTACATCCTCATTTCATTCATAGGGGAACCGGCTTCACAAGTTCCTGAGGAATGCTGGCTTTTATCCGCCAGAAGTCTCCTATAGTCCTGGTTGAGCCTATTTCTGGATTTTTGAACTGTATTTTGGAGTTTCCTTTGGATATAACACAGTTTGCTCCCTTTTTCCCTGTGCCTGTTTATTCTCACCAAGGATCCCATTTTTAAATATTCTTATTTCTCTCTATCTTCCACTTCTCAGTTGTTGTCAATCCTCTGCTGTAGCTTCTAAAAAGAAGCCTCCCAAAGTATGATCATCTCTTCTGGATCTATTCCTTTTCCTTCTGCAAATCAGCCTCTCTTTTTCTGAGCAGGTCTTGTAGTCTTTGGGGCTTCTTCACTCCCCATCATTTCTCTATCTGTATATCGCGTAAACTTTTTCTGGCCAGGTGCAATCTACTCCCACAGATAGAACCCCAATGACTGAACAAAGTGGACCAAGATAGCCTACTTACTTGCGCATGAGTGACCCCAATCAACCACCATAGTGTCTCACCCCAGCACAAATGATGACTCCCATAGCTGCACAGATGCAATCTCAACTTCAGCTGTGTTTCCTGCTCTCTATACTCAAGTAACCTCTGAAGCCAGTTCCTCCTGTAGCAAGTTCCACTGACTGCTTTATAATTCCGACAGCAGTAGCACGGCATTCCTGTAATTCTTCAATTTCTAATTCACTGTGGATTAAAGGAATGTTTCAAACAATCTCTCTCTCTCTCTCTGTGTGTGTGTGTGTGTGTGTCCCTGGGATCTTCTTTAGCATTTTCTTTTTTTTCCTAGAGAGGATTATGAGTATGGGGTGCTTAGCCTGGTACCACTGGGTATATGAGCATCTAGAACTTGTATGCAAAAGTTGGGTGGTGTGCTCTACTGTGCTTTCCATTTTTCTTTTTAAACTTTAGAATCCTTATGTAAACTTATAATTTATTTTAAACTTCATTATTTTTAAAAAAATTGCAAAAAATGAATTTATATACCTAAATTAACCAAGTCCAAAGGCTATACAATACAAAATCTTTCTGTGGAAGGTCTGCCATGTTCTAACAAAAGGCCCTGTAGATTAGCGTTATCCATCTATCCCTTGTGCCAACCAAGGGAGGAGTGAAAGACAAAGGATCCCTGATGACCATAGCCATTGTTGCAAAGAACAGACTCTGACTCAGTTTTTAAGGGGTTGATAGGAACTGTAAAGTCCTATAGAAAGGGGAATCTAAAGGAGGGGTGCACTGCTGACAGCAGGTGACCTTGCTCAGGCCATATCTGAGTGCCCACTGTCTCAGCTCTGTCCCTTCTGCGAGGGGGTTGTGGAAAAGCTGTCACTGCTCCACTTACCATGAAAAAGTTACTCCTGCTCCAGGCTATAACCTTACTTACCAGGAGGATAACTGCCTGCAGAGGCGGAGGTGAGGCGACCTGTCCTGCAGAGCTCAATGAGGCTGTGGTTAGTTTTAGTTCCTTCCTATCCTGCAGAGCTCACTGTGGCTGGGGTTAGTTTTAGTTCCTTGTCATCTTGAGCCCCAAGGCCAAGTTACTTGCAGAAGAGTGACTCAGGAGGAAAAGGCAAGTAAAACCAGAGCCTGAGAGGGACAGAGTGGAATTAGGCCATGACTTGAGTCCTTATTTAGGCCCATAGATCTTCTTACATTGAAGTATAACTTAATGGTCAATAAAGGACACCTAACCTAAGTGTGTGGCATATATGTATCCTCTAGATGTCTAGCATTTTTTAATGTTATTTTACTTAAATATTATATTTTACAATTTGGTGTTTTTTGTGGGATTTTTTTGTGTGAGTAAATGTGTTTCTATAGTGTCTTTCTTGGGTTCTTTTCCTGATTTTTGTTTGTTTTGCCTTTTCTAGTTTCTTTTTTTTTTTTTTTTTTTTTTTTTTTTTTTTTTTTTTTAGTTGCCTATTTGTTTTCTGTGGATTTGGGTGGGTAGGAGAGAGTATGTGGAATTTAAAGAAAAATAATGTTAGATGTAGTCACCAATCTAGCCTCTAGTAGCTTTTATGGTGTTTGATTGTTTGAGAGAGATTTTATTATGACACCCTGCCTGGCATCAAACTCAGCCTGCCTCTCTGCCCCTAGGGTGCTGGGATTAAAAGCAT